ATTTTTCCATGCAGAAAGGAACGCTGTCAGGTCCCCATTTTTCCACGTTTGTGGAAATGCAGTGTTTTTGCTACATCATGTTCAATCCTTTATGTTCATATACCTGCGATGGTATTGCTGGAGATCCACACAGATTGTCAAACTTCCTCAGGGGTTGCCAAAGAATGTCCAGAGAGCCATGAAGATTCCCAGGGAAAAGGAAGGAGGAAAAACAAACAAAGTGTGTGTGTATATATATATATATACATGGTTTCCCTTAGGGGGAAAGGTGGCCAAGGAAAAAACGAGTTGTTGTTTTTTTTCCGGGCTTATCCCCTCTCATAGCCCTCCTATGTATATAGCCTCTCCCTGATGGCAGGTTGCCAAAGGTTGCCAAAGAATGACCAGAGAGTCATGAAAATCCCCTGGGAAAAGGAAGCCGGGAAAACAAACATGGTGGTGTGTGTCTACCTTATGGGAGAGGTGGCCAAGGAAAGGGAGTTTTTTTTGAGTTTCCCCCCTCTCCTAGGCCTCCTATATATAGTCATCCTAAATCCATTGGTGGACTTGCATTTTCCTTGTAGGAGTACTACTGTATGCATCTATGATATGGATGCTACATAAGTAGCGCATAGCAATACGTACACACATTTTCCACATGTACTTTGCATATGTAAAGGAATTCTTCCAGGATTGACTGCAATAAAGACTCTTTGGTTGCAACTGACTTTGCTGATAAGAGTTGGCACATGGTAAGGGCAGCTCCAACTTAGCATTTCTCCAAAAATATGTTTTCCTGCATATTTCACAGCAATTTGCGAGGCCACTGCGTATCTAATCCAGGTACCCTGTTACCATAATTGCTTGGTTGTTTTTTTATATAATCTTTTCTGACAGGATGAGAAACAGTATGCAAGCGCATTGTCACAAGTGTGCAGTATCAGTATATATACAGTAGAAATGGCAGTTTCGAACACGCACTGATATCTAGAGGGTATTTTGTGATAAAAACTACATTTTTTTTGCAGATACCATTGCCATTTGTGCTGTGTCAACACATCCAAGCTGCATGCGCACTTAGAATGCAAATATTTTATATATACATTTTCTTATATAGTACATACAGTTATGGAATGGGTGGCTTATAAGTCACCTATGCCCTTCAAAACTTGGTCTTTTTCCTGCGTATGCAATGGCATTCTTCCAAGTTTCAATGCAGTAAAAGATCTTTGCTTAAAATATCGATTGATCACAAGAGTTGGCAAATTCCAGGGGCACTTCCATTTCCCCCTTGCTTCAGAAAAGACGTTTTTACCTGCAGATTCCATGGTAATTTGCTGTGTCACTGCAAATATAACAGCAGACATTTTATTACCATAAATGTATCCATGGTTGTGGGCAAAACTTAAACTACAGTATGTCAGTAAAACTTCATCATGGCAACCAGAAGGGCACAAGACCAAGTAAAGGGAAAACGTAGGCAACCTTACCAAACAACTGTATCTGTAGAATGGCTGCCTTGCTTGTGCATTGACGCAGCAAGTTACCATGTAGTATGCCAAAAAAATGCAACTACTTGAGGAGGGAGAGCAGGTTGGAATTTGCACTTTCGTTTACTAAAAGAGTTCCACTGGAACTATGATGTCAACCAAAAGGCAACCTGGCAATCCAATATCAAAAACAACCAATGCAAATACAAAGTGCTATGTATATGTATATATAATATATATACTGTCTTTGCAATAGCTGTATACCTAGGTAGTACCTATACATTAATATCTACATGAAGTACCAACTGACACAATGAATCTCTATTCAAGAAGATGTTGTTGGGCAAAGAACTTTGCCATTCATGCACTAAGACCACCTATCAAAAAAACAATAGAGCTACAAAAAGCAAGCAACCAAGACTAGAGCCAAGGATTAAGAAAGCAGAACAATACATCTCACAAGAAACTTTGATCTTTCATATGATCAAAGGATGAGGAGAAAAAAACGCTTAAAACCACGTATTTTTGGGGACCTGGTGGCGTTCCACTCTCCTTCCATGGGACAACCCCCCTGAACTTTGAAAATACCAAAGTTGGGGCTGAATAAATTTCGTAGAGGGATAAATTTTTCGGGCCTAGGGTCAGGAAAAAAATTATGCCATCACGAACCCGGTTGCGGATCACTGTTTTTGCATGTCATGTCCCAACGGCGTGGGCCAACACAAAGGACGTAGAAGAGGTCTATCAAATTTTGCGACTTTTGTTGGCAAACGGAACCACGCGGAATGGGGAGCAGAAACCAGCGAGGAACCGATCTTATTCATTTTGCTTTGGAGGAAGGGTTTCGGATCTGCAATCGCCAGATGGCTGTGGAACATGTACATGACAGTTGGACGTGTCGCCGCAATTTCGATGGTGCTTTGGTACAAATCGATTTCAGTGTCAGTGAATTAAGGATGAATGTGGAAATAGTTTGGCATGATTTCGTTGTGGCCATTGGACTAGACCATCGTTGTGTTGATTGCATGTTACGCTGTTTGTGCGAAGGAAGACGCAAAAAACATGTATGTACGTTCATCAATGACAGGGTGGCGCCCCCACTTGGACAAAAATCAACAAGCTGCGCAATTTCATGCTGCAATTCGACGAAGCAGAGGTGATCACAATAGCATTTCCTTCGAAAACGTTGGAAACATTTTGTTGAACGCTGCTAGGTCTGGTGTTTTTGTCTCGATTCACTAAATTCCAACCGTCTACATGCGCGGGGCAAGGAATATAGCTGTAGATGACGATGAGCGAAAACGGCTGAGTTTTCAAATCCGAAAACTACACAAACATGAAGTCAAAACGTGTAAAACATCACAATTACAAAACAATTTTGGGTCCGTTTCATGTTACATTGACTCGGCCATGCACCACACTCTCGACAGAGAGTATAGTCGCTCACGCAAGTATCTTCAACTTACCAATGAACGACTTGTTCAAGCAGAGCTGGCACTACGATACTGGCAGGACCACGACAACCTGCACATTTGGGCTCCAATCCCAATATACACAGACAGAACAGACTATCGAAGTCTTGAAATGGCCCTCATCCAAGAGTGGCAGCCCAGACTCAATTACCCATTCATTTGTCAATTCTTCCATCCAAAGAAGGGAATCCTCAAGAAACTAACTCTCAACACGAACGCCCAGTTTGGCCTGGCTACACTATGGCGTCGAGCCAAACACAAGTTCACTCCAAAACTGGTTCGCCAGATCCTGACATCAACACGGTTCCAAAACCGTCTGGAACTGTGGACCATCATCCACGCCTTAGGTTCAAATACCAAGGCAAGGTTTGAACAAACGAAGATGCTCAGATCGAACGACGGTGGCCTGACTCTCTGCTATGCTCTCCGCCGGCTGGCAAACAATATCCAAGAGCCTTTCCGCACTCTCTCTTTGAATGCCATCGATGCCTCCATCAAATGGTGGCACGGAAAGCCGGCACCACGAGCCTCGGCACTACGTGCTCCATGGTCTCTTACTTGGAGGGCCGGGGGCGGTTATAAGTACATAGCAAGGTTAGAGCACTTATATAACCTACTTACTAAGTGCTGTAACCTACCTTATAAGTGCTAAGTTACCTTATAAGTGGTGCTAAGCGGGGTGCTGTCTCTAAGTCACTTACGTAAGTAGTTACAGTTTTAGGCTAACTATATATTATGTTCCATAAATGATTACGCGACTTATGGCACTTGTCTAACCACTTAGCCTATGTGGGCTAAGTGAGATAGGCAGATTAAGCCCTAAGTGGCCTAAGTCCTGTAAAGGATTTACGCTACTTACGTATCTACTAGTAGGCTAAGTGCACTTACAAAAAAATGTGGAAACACAAAATCCCGTTTCACATTTGGTGGAAACACAAAAATTCTGAATGGGGTTTTGGTGGAAACACAAAATTCCGTTGCAAGTTTTCGTGGAAACACAAAAATCCAAATCGAGTTTTGCGGAAACACAAAAGCACTCGCGGACTTAGGTAAGTGCTGTAAGCCACTTACGTAAGTGCGCTAAGTGCTGTCCCAGTAAGTCCGCTAAGTGACGTACTGTAAGCTCTGTATCCCAATAGTAAGTGCCGTATGTACCTAGTATGTGTGCTTATAACCACCCCCGAGCCTCCAAGCACCCCCAATCTCCAACAAAAACTGAAGAAATTCTTACGGCAGTGGTATCTCCAGATGCTTGATTATCAGGTCCCATGCCACAACCCATCCTTCAAGATGGTTTTTATCAAGCATGCAGCTGTCCTGGATCAACTCTGTAATCACAAAAAAGCCATCGACGACTGGTCCACCTCGAACCCAGCGGTTTGCTGCTGCAAACACTGGGCATCGTACAAATCAGCTGCCCTCAATCCTTCTGACCCCCATTGGGTCCTAGCTGGTTCCCAGCCTTCACCAGATATTTCGCTAATATGCTGGCGCATTTTTTTTCTGCGATTTCCCTGCCACGAGAAAAACCTGATCATTTGACGGAACCTCATTGGGCCCTTTGTGAGTTGAAACACGCTATCCATCGTTTGAAATCGAACAAAAGTGGTGATGGGTTTGGTCGCCAAAATGTTGCGATATCTTCCTGACGATTTTCTCGTCACTTTGCTTACTCTTTATAACGACGTTTTGAGAGAAGGGTGTGTACCGCAGTACCGCATGCTTGGCATACCACTTGGTTTCTGACGTTCGCAAAGTCCTGCAACACGTGCACCGGCAGGTTTCCAATGCAGGGTTCTTTTTGGACCCGCCTTTCAGCAGGTAAACTGGCAATGTATAATCTAAACTTCCAATATGATTCTAAACAGCGGTTTGACCACCTGATGTTCACTTACGATTGTCTGAACCTTCATGTTCCACTCGTGCAAAATCTCGTGCCAGGGGCGCGACCACCATACGAAGCAGCCTGCGTAACAGTCAAAGATCACCAGGGCTCATGCAAACAAATGACAGCGGGCGATGTTTTCCACAGGGATACCGGTAGCTGAAGCCATAAGGCTCATGTTGATGATATGTTACATGCCTCCAACCACTGCCAAAGGGTTGAACTGAACCTAGTTTCACACATCCCCCCCTGGTCAGTGCGTTGGAGCTTCAGCTTCCTACGCTGCTCTGCTGCAGTTTGTCGCAGACCGGCAGCCTCGTCGCTGTCTTTCAGCGACCAAATTCCTTCGGTCAATGCCCGCTGCAAGGCCTTGTTGCCAAACCACTTCGTGAGGCCGTCCGACACCATGTGATGGCCAGGCACCCAGCGAGCAAAAGAATTGCTCTGCTCCTCCAAAAGCGCCTGTTTCAGCACAGCCAAGTCGATCTGGATCTTCCGATCGCTCGTCTGGCTCTCGCTGGTCAGCACGTCGAAGCCCGTCTTCGCGTCAATCAACAGGAAGTGTCGCCAACGGTTGGCCCAGAGCTTCCAATCCTTGAGCACGCCATGTTCAAACGCAGTCGCAGCCATTGAGACCTCTGCACTCATGCTGCACCTCACCACCCTCTGAATCTTCATGCTTGCTGCCTCGATCACTGCCAATCGGCCATCTCCTTCAAGGATGTCCAAGTCGGCCAGAGCCACAAGGAGACCTCCTTGGCTGTAGCCTCCAGGCTGTGCCCCATACGCTGCATCGCTAGCTGACAGCACCACCAGGTTCTCCCAGTCTTTGAGCTTGCGAATCACCTGGGTCATTGGCTGCTTTGCACGGTAGATGACCTTGTTCAAAAACTCCAAGGCTTCTCCGGCGTCTCGGGCCATGAGCTGTTGCACATGTGAGACGCCGTAGGACAGGTCGAACCTTCCTTGGCGAGCCATCCAGTTGAGCTGACCCAAAATGGATGACATGGCAAGCCTTTGCTCTCCAGAAAGTCCGCTTGGGTTCTTCTTGTGCTTCTTCTTGCCATGGGTGTACTCCTCGGCCGTAATCTCACCCTTGCGCAGCATCTCCTCATCGTCAATCACCTTCTTGGGGTCCAGGCGATAGGCCTCCAAGGTCCTCATCTTCTGCAGACCCTTGGAGTATTCATCCATGGAATATTCAAACTCCAGAGTCTGTGGATTTTGCCGCTCCCATCTGCCGCAAAACTTCACCCATCCATCTGTCGCCTTGCGGACTTCACCAAAGTTCAGACATTGATGAACTTGCTTCCAAATTTCTTCACTGGAAGCATCGCCACAGTATCTGGTGTCATCCACATGGATGCAAGCCAAGGCCCTCAATCGTCCATCAGGGTGGTGTGCCACAAAGACCCCTGGCAAGAGATCCAATTCTCGCATGCTGCACTGCTGCAGCGTCTCCTTGCACTCCAAATACCAGAGGCGAGGGCTCTCAGGCAAACCAAAGCCTCCTTTTGTGAGGCGCATCAGATCGTCCCTCATGGTGGCTCCAAGCTTGCTGCGGATGTAGTGCTCGATGTAGTCAGGATATCCCTTGGGGATGCGCACATGGGTTTCCCTTTCTGGAGGAAGATGTTTCCCCTGAAGGAATGCGCTTGACACATCCTCGTAGTTCACCACCCATCCCATCTGCACACTGATGAAGTTGATGAGGTTGTGAGCTAAGGCGGCTGCCGTCGGAGCCAATGTTGGGAACTTGCCCGCATCTGGATCACGATGTCCCCCCAGCACAAGGCGCCCCTTCAAAATGGCGGTCTCCAATTGCCCGCCGCCCTCGTTGGTCAGGACAAATCGGCTGGAGAGAATCCTCTTAGGATCAATGACCTTGTCCCGGGAGACTCCTTCCAGGGCGTCATGGTCAAAGTAGATCTTGACCGCCTTGATCAAAGGCTCCTTGAAGGCTTCCTTCCATTCGGGACTCAATTGGCCCCATTGATATTCAAGTCGTGCCTTGCCCGTCACCACTTTCTGGAAGCCAGCTGCCTCTTCAATCTTCTCCTTGTCCAAGACGTCTGCCCCCGCAATGGCCTGCTGATGTTCTCGTTGTTGTGTGTTGATCTTCTCCTGAACCTCTCACTGCGCCCACGCTCGCGGCTCGGGCTGGGTCCAAAAGGCTTCTTGGATTTCCCATTCTTGGCATGCCACCGCCCATGCCTGTTCAAAGTCATCCTTCTCACACGCCTCCGCATAGCATATCAAGTTTGCTGCTTCTTCTCTGTCCATTCTCTCACGCCTGGCCTTCTGCACTGCCGGCGCCTGTCGAGACTTCTGGATGATCTTTCTGATGTTCTTCACTCGGACCGTTGCCTTCGCAGCACCGCTTCTGAGATTGGCCTCCATCAAGGTGAATGGTTTCGGTTTTTTCTTGCTGAAGTCCTCGAACAGCTGCTTCTTCTGCGCAAACTGCATGCCACTCGGCTCGATTCCATCATCTTGTGTTCCCATCAGATCATCCTCATCGTCATCTTCTTGCAGCATCTGGTTCCTCTCAACTGGTTGGAGTTGGCGTACAAGAGCGGGACCACTGGAGCCAGATGACAGGGAGCTTCTCACTGATTCGGGAACATCATTCAGCAACTCCATTCGTCTGAGTTGCCTTGCTCTATCCCCATCTGATCGCTGATAGGGATCTGCCTGAGCTTGCTGTGGTTGCATCTCTTCGTCGGACTTCTCCTCCTCTTCCATGATTGCTCGGGTTTGTCGTTGGCGTTGTCCTGCAGGTAGAGGATCTGGCTGCGGTTCTTCAAGCTGAAGTCTGCCCATGCGAATCTCGTCAGCCATCTGATCCAACATGCTCACAATGAAACGTGAGCCCAGCATCTCGTCAGGAGTGGCCATTCTCACCTTTTCCAAAGGGAAACTTCTGACTTTGCCGCGGATCCTCACCCAGATCCTGTTTGGCACATTCTGTTGCCGCTCCACGCAGACCACAATGCCCGGCCCATCCCAGCTGACATGATCTTGAAGCCGCCGTGGTTGTCCTCGACGATGGTTGTCCTCGACGATGTGGTGGGGGTTGATGCACATACACCGTGCTGCCCTCCAAGATCATCTCCAGCTTGGGTGGTCTGGAGCGAGCATGAACTCCTTTTCTGATGACCTCATTGGAGTCAATCCAGTTGAATGAATCCACAGCCGCAGCCCTGATTCTTTCTGCTTTTCTCAATGCCTCCTTCTCATCCAAAGAAGCGTTCATGGCCATCTTCAACTGGCCACTGCAAAGTTGATCCATGATGGAAGTGGGTACTGCCACATCCCTTCCCGTCACAGCCTGCATCGGCGACATGCCCATCTTGTTGCACAGGCGGTTCTTGGCACCAAAGCATGCCGCTGCCACCACCTTGAGGTCCTCCAAGCCCTTGACCTGCTGGGCTGCGATCGTCCGCATCATCATCAGCTTCACCACAGCGCCATGCCTTTCCACTTGTCCTTGTCTCCATTTTGCACCAGGTGGCACCACCTCATGGCGGAAGTCCAAAGCCCTACCAAGACGTTGGACCACCTCCTCATACTCCTTGCCACCATCAGTCTGCAGGACATCCGGCGGTCCAAAAACCGCGCACCATCTGTTCTGCAGCAGCTCTGCTGACATTGAGGCGCTGGGTTGCTTACTGACAATTCCCACGTGGTACTCAGTGAGCCCGTCCAACAAATGTGTGACGTTATAGCGCTCGTCCATGATGTTCCACACGTAGAAGCTGTCAGAGAGGATCTTTTCACCAAAGCGAGTGGGCCTTTGGCCAGACACCTTTGGCTCTGCTCCAGGGGGTCGCACAGCTTGGCAGATCTGACATTGAAGGCCCTCTGCTGTCTTGATGACCACGGAGCTGCATCCTGCAATCTGCAGCATCCTTTTCAGTCGATCTGCTGATGGATGCCCCAGGACCACATGTAAATGAGCCAAAGCCTGACGGATCTTGTAGGGCCCCCGCCTGGCATTGCCCTCGAAAAAAAACATAGTCGTATTGCCCTCCTCTCCAATCTGCCTTCTCCAGTTGCCTCCTCAGCTCCCCTTCCGGCGTTGGAAGTGGCTCCACTGGTACTGCATGATGGAGAGCATGGACCTGACGGCCATCAGTCAGCTTGCGGGATGCTTCAGCTTCACATTTCTCCCAAGCGTACTCCGCCGCATCCAGCAAGTGATGACAAAACTCCTGTGGCCAGCGCGCCGCCAAGGCTGAGCGCCTTTGGGGGTGACCCTCGTAGAACACACTACCGTCAATGGCCTGGTGCTCTTCCGGCTTGTGGTTGCAAACAGCCCCATGCATCAGGCCCTCACACATGTAGTAGTCATTCACATCCAGCGCCGTGTACTTCTGGTGTGGCTTCCCACTGATCACATCTTTCAATCCAAAGGCACATTGAGGCACCTTGGCTCGATGAAGTTGTGGACGAGCCTTCATGAAGTCCAAGTTGAGGGCTTCCGACTGCGCTGGATTCTCCGTAAGCACCAGCCGTCAATGCTTGGTTTGCTCATCCCACACCTCCCTGGCGAAGCGCCACAAGGAGAGGTCTGGCTTGCGGTCTAGCATGATCTGGTCGATGTTGGGATTGAGCCGTTGAAATTGACTCCATGGACCACACCGAGGGCTGAGGGTCACCGAATCACGTTTGTTCTCCCGGATGGCCTCCATGATCCTCAGCCGAGTGTAGGCATTCCTGATGTCATAGCCATAGTAAAGATCCACTGGACCCATAGCTCGCCAACCTGCCCGGCTACGGGCCACTTGTGTCATCGTGGCACGGCCTGCAAAGATCTCCAGGACGGTGTAGGTCTCCGTGTAGTTGGGCAGATTGACTACCATTGCATGGTTCTGGCGGGCTCGTGGATGCCCCACTTGACCTTCTGGATCAATCCTCTCTGTTGGTTGGCTCGTCCCCATACCTCGGACCCACAAAATCGCTCGACCTCAGCCTTTGTCTCATGGCCCCGAAGTGGCCCCACGGCGATGCGATCTCGTAGCTCAGGAGGTAGTTCAGCCACTTGGTGTTGCGCTTCCATGTGGCCCTGCCCTTGGACTCTGCTCGGACTGCCTCCTTCACCTTCAGTTGCCACACGAGTTTCTTCCATAGATACGTCCTCAATCAGCTCTGTGTGCTCCTCATCACGTTGAAGGTCAGGTCGTCGCTCCACACATTGCTCAATGAGGGATAACGGGCCCCCCAACTTGTCAAGGCTGCTGACTTCATCTTCCTGTCGGCGGCCTCCTCCTTCTTCTCTCGATGCTCGATCACCAACCTCATTTCGTCCATGGTCAGGTCCTTCATTTCTCCCAAGACCTTCTCCGGGGGTGCATCTTCCGATCCCGTCGCAACTTCCCATGCCCCGGAGGACCTCCTTGGCTTCGTCGGCATGATCGCCTTGGTCACTGGGGCCGTCGCAGCTTTGGCTCGATCCGCTGCTGTCTTGCCTCTGCCCTTGGAGCCACTCTTGCCCTTCTCGGACTCGACATCCATAGCTCGAGGAGTTTCCTTCCGTCTGGTTTGTCGCTGCTCTGCCAGATGGGTTAATTCCTCTTGTTCCCGCTGCTGCAGAAGCTACGCCGTCAATGCTACCTCGCAGAAGGAATCCTCCGGATCGCTCATCTCTGGACACTGAGATGTCCGGTGCCCTATCTTCTGGCACAGGCGGCATAGCTGCGGGTTGAGTTCGGGCACGGAAGACATCCGGTGGGAGATCGCGATCGCCTCGGGTCTGATCCACTTTGGAGCCAAAAGCTTCACGAGCACGAGGTTCATCAAACAAGCCAACTTCTGCATGTCCAGACATGGACCAATGTTCCCTTTCAACTGCCTCCAACACTTCAGTAAAATGGAATTCATCTATCCGTACTGTTGCAATCCATAGTTCTTGACTTGAAGTTTACGTGAACTCAAAGTGTGCTTTTCCGTGTTTAAATGAAATCACAAGGCGGTATGAGACTGTTTGGAGAGAAGGGGAAGACATGGACCAGGAACCACGCTAAATGCAAGAAGAACTCTGCGCCCTCCAAAGGTCGCTTCCAATTGTAATCTGCATTTGCTTTTCAAAGTGTTCCCATCTCCAAAACGAAAAACCTCTTCTTCGGGGAGTACTTTCAGCCATCTGTCATGTTGTTGCCATTCCTTAATGACATCGTTGGCCCATTCCACGCCCACCACATTCCGCATGCATCCCAAGTCCAAGATGACCTTCCTTGCTAACTCCTTCATGTTCCACCATGCTTCAAAGGCTATACTTCTTGTTGAATAATCTGACGCCTCATGCTCTACTGACCTCCCACCTTCACTCAAAGGACCCAGCACCATGTATACTTCACGCTCGGACGCTGCAGCACGAATGGTGTCCTTGCACAAAGACTCTAAAAGTGACCACTCGTTGCCCCCACCTTGAGATGTTTCTCTCGGCTGGGCAGTGGTGACCAGGACTTCGTTGCCTCGGTCCAAAGCCATCTTGACCTTGGGACAGTCCTTTGCAAAATGGCCCGGCTCGTCGCAGACAAAGCACTTGCCAGTCTTGGCCTTCCGAGAGTCTCCCTCGTTTCTCTTGTAGAAGTTTCTCATCTTCTTCACCTCGGCCATCTTCCGACGTGCCTTGAATTGAAGAGCCAATGCTTCATGCTCTGCATGCAGAACGTCGCTTGGCATGTTCTCCACGTCGTCCATGCTGTCATCACCATGGGGTTCTTCTGGAATGCCCTCCATGGACACTTGCGTCTCCACCTCGTCGTTGACCTCTGCAGCCAGGACTGGCTTGTCCTTCTTGTTGAAGCGCATTGCCACAAAGCCACGTTGGATGAGATGTTCTTCTCCGTGAGCTCCACCAAGTTGACTCTCCGACTGGCCAATGGGGAAGCCAGCCTCACGTTCCAGCTCACTGGACCGCTCCATCATGGCACCAGTGATCGATGCCTCAGTTTCATCACCTGCATGTGTCTTGACCATGGCCTTTTCGCGCCTGGTCAACCTGGCATGGTCTAGTAGGTGGCCTATGAAAAACCTTTCTCCCATGCTCAAAGCCTCATCCAGGCCCTCCAGCTGCCCACGTTAGATCCCAGCCCGCGTGATGTAGCTCTCCAAATTTTCTCCTGGCAATCTGTTCAGGTTGAGGAGCCTTTTGCGATGCCAGTCTACCCTGTGCTTTTCACTTTGCTTCACCAAAGGGCTGTGCTCGAGAGTCTTGAAGATGAGATCCAAGCCATTGCGTCCATCAACATCTTCAGGTTCCAAATGCTTCACCAGCCGGGCAGCTCTCTCACGCAATTGAACCATGACTCGGGGCCCCACTAAGTTGTAGGGTAATTGTTGGCCCTCACCCTTCAACCAAAACTTCACAGCCCTCTTCCAGTCACGATAGCTTTCCCCCTGCTTGGCTTTAAACACAGGTGGATAGCTACTTGACACCTTGCCTTGAGTGCGCTTCCCTTCATCTCGGTCACTCTTCTCCTGCACACTCAGGATCTTGCCCGATGGTAGATCATCTCGGCAAGGATCATCACCTTCTGAATCTGCTGAAGATTGAAGAACGTGACGTCCGCTGTCTCCTTGAACTGCAGCACCTCCATCTTGTCCCGCATGACAACGCGGAAGTTCTTCAGGTTCTTCAGCATGCCATCTATGCCACGGATCACACTGACCCCAATGTCCTCGTGACCCACGTTGACTCACATAGACCCAGTTGGCCCTGCTCTCACCCGAGGATCCGTCCCATGAATCCCAAGACCAGTTGCCACCGCGCCACCATGAGTCGGATGAGGCATTGGATGTCAGCTCAAATTGCTCGGCATACCGTCCACCTTCTCCAGCTCGTACCCACGGAGCCTCCGATGCGCTCCTCCATGTTGATCCACCCTGAGACCAAACCTGGTTCGTCTCAGGTTGTTCCTCAAAACCTCCGGTCCCTCCAAAGGTCTCCGCTTCAACCTCATAGGTTGCCCATCCGCCTCCGTAGTACGAGCTCATCAGCTACGGCTATCCCAAGGCCCAAGCCTTATTGTCCACCCACACTGCACTGATTGCCCAGTGCAGCCCCCAGATCGAACCACGCTCCGATGCCAGTCAAAGATCACCAGGGCTCATGCAAACAAATGACAGCGGGCGATGTTTTCCACATTGATACCGGTAGCTGAAGCCATAAGGCTCATGTTGATGATATGTTACATGCCTCCAACCACTGCCAAAGGGTTGAACTGAACCTAGTTTCACAGTAACACATCCATGCGGCACAAATCGCATTGATAAACAGTGCGGTGCCCACAACCTGACATAGCAACAGGAGTAATAACAATATCGAAAAAACGCAAACGATCCTTCACACGGACCCTTTGGTCGCAAAGTATTTGTTGGTGTGCAAAGAAAACCCGGGAGGCAGCTTGGAGGTGATGTTGTGCTCCGGTTTGCACGACCCACGCCCAGGATGCAACCCAACCACTTATGTCCAGAATTAGGGGTTTTCACTTGATCTGTTTTCGGTTCTGCGTGTGAAGGTGGCTTGGAGGTTGAGTTTCGTCTGTCAAAATTATTGTTTTTCCAGAATTAAAAATTAAACCAACCTCCGCAAGTGCTGCCATCAAAGAATCAAGCATAAAAAAATATCATCGGCACTGCGCCCAAACAACAGTATGCCGTCCGCAAACCGCAAATCAAGTAGATTTGGCAAGCCATCTTCGACATTTATCCCCGCACCTGCTGTTTCCATATTTTTTCTCCATTCATGCATGGCCCATTGCAAGGCTGCAAGGCAGCTGTGAGTAGCCTAGGGCTCAATACGCACCCTTGTTTTACGCCGGCACGGATGGCAAATGCATGGCTATCACCCGACCCACTTTAAACACACCCAGTTTGTTGCCAGTACAAACATTGAATAATCCAAACCAAGTGCCTCGAAACACCATGTGCTGTTGGATTGCTGTTGGTGCGTGCCACAGCTGTACCCAATTCACTCTGTCAAATGTTTTTGATAGAGCAAGACTTACCACCCACACAAGCACGCCAACTGCTAAGAAACGATCAATCTCAATATTCGCAGTTACCAAGTGTTCTTCCAGCTTGTAACCTTGGCGAAATCCGTGTTGTTCCTCAGGCTGCACTGTGTCCAAAATGCATGTTTCTTTGTTGTTCTGTCAAACAAGGGTTGAAACGCGCGCTTGAGCACCACATCAAAACAAAACAATTCGTTTTGCACCGGCGTTGGTTTTTCGCCAAACCATTCTTTGGTAACAATTCTCTGAATTTGTGTTTTTCCCACGTGGTTTGCCTATTTTTTTCAAGTGCAAGTTTCATCTGTTTTCTGCTGTACATGCGCCACGAATAAACATATACATTTTAGAAGATGAGATGCAACGGTGTGTTTCACCTTAGCCATTTCTATGACACACATATTATTCAAACAAATTATTGCATGAAAATGTGGATCGTCAGGACGGGTGCTGTGCATATGCATCATATACATAAAAAACATATTATATACGAAAATTTCAAAAACAAACCAGCCAACTCTCTGACTCCGCATAGTGTTCCAAAAACGCTAGAAAAAAAAAATGCGACCCAGTTGTTTTTTTCTTGTACTTACAATATGCTAGGGACATGTTTTCTGTTTCAAATCGCATAGGCAGAAATTCTGCACAGCACGAAGTTCCAGGTCTACATAGGGTTGTTGCGACGACGAAAGCGACACAAGGTTGGGAGACAAAGCCCCAGCGGCAGCCAGCAGCAGCAGGTAGACAAAAAGAGACGAAAGGGACACGGCTTGGCTTGGGAGACAGGGCGGCAGTAGCAGTCAAGGGAAGGCTCTTCCACGGGGTGGGTTGCAGCAAATGAGCAGTGAGCGTGTGGGGAACCAAACCCCGAAACGCTGCAAAGCGGAGGAATGCTTGGACCAATTCCGGCCAGGGATTGTGGCAGGAGACATTGTCAACACCACAACGCTTGAACATCACTGTTTTGCGCGAAGATGAAACGCACAAACGACTGGTTTGCAAAGTTGCGGCGCAAAAATCCGGGGTCGAATTTGTTGATTTCAGACATCACATGTAACAAGTGTATGAACACATTGTTGCCCAAGAGTTACTTTTGACGGACAAAATGCGTCGTCTCCCTCTAAAACGCATTGACTTAGACAGGGTCGGCTCTTTTGTTGCGTCTTTCGCTTCGGCCCCGGACACTATACAAGACACATTCATGTAATAAAGTCAGGTATCCAACCAACCAAAAAAACAACTATCTGGGAACATTGTCGGACCTCCTTCCGGGATGGATTGGTCAGAGCACGAGTCGTCACGATTTTTATCGCAGGAATGTACACGTAGCGATTTTTTCTTCTCTTGCAAGGCTACAGCAGTGGTGGTAAGCCCTTTTCACACCACGGATGCTAGCATGCCACATTGCTCGACTGCTGGGTTCGCGTAATGCTGACATGGAGACTTCCGGAGGTCGCGGGATCATCGAAAACCAACTTTGGCCTTTGGACCATCCCGTCTGGATCCCATGTGCGCACCGGGTGCTGTTTTGCCACTTTTGGACTACCAAATCCGGATCCACTGTGCACGGATAGCATTGGGGCCGGGTGTGGTGGGATGTTGCGCGCAAAACAAGACATTGGGGTGGGGTTGGGGATTGGGGTGACGCTCTCGAATCATCTGAGTTTTTCTCCACTCTTTGTTGGTTTCCTACATTGTTCAGTTGACCTCAGCCTCTTCTCAAGTCACTCTTCTCATTTCCATTCACATGAGATCAACTCCCCCCATCTCAACAACTACTTGTTCCTTCGTTGCTGTTCCACATGGTTTCAATTTTTAATTACTTTTGCATCTCACAAACATGCCTCTGGGCCATTGATTTGTTGTAATATGTTCTTTGTAGTCCATTTCAATCAGATCCGATCTTTCAGACCCGATCTTTGTTCACCACCGGTGAGTTCCAGTCAGACATCAGGAATGCAGGTCCTCGCTCACCATAATGGCCAAAGGCATGCCTTCCCCTCCCCGCATGTACATATGTGTACATGCGATGACCCACCCACCTGCGGGACAACGTGCAATAAGATGGCGTGGTGCACATAGGATCAACATTGCAACATTTTTATACATTTTCGTCGCTTCAAAATGATCCCGGACTGGTTCGAAAACTGCAAGAATTGGGAGGTTTGTGGCGGAATCTCGTGGTTGAATTTATCACGTTTTGCACTTCGTTTTCACCTGCCTATGCCATACATTGGCCACACAGAGTCCATGCGTGAAATGAAGAAAACAAAGGCTAAGTTTCGCGAAGTGCCCGAAGGTGTCTGTGACTTGGAACACCAATTCACCAACATTCATTTTATTCGAACGTTTCATTGCCTGCTCTACCGCGGCCGCGGGGGTTGGCTAAAGCGATTCAATTTGTTTGTGCCTTTTGTTCATCTCTCAGGTGGTAACTTCGCAACGTACATAACCAAAATTCCATTTTGTTTGGAAAATGTTTTTTGGTTGGAACCAGTGGCTGTACGGCCCAAATATGGTTCGCCAATATTAGAATTACATGGAAAAAAGTGCAATGGCATCAATGACGCTTGATAGGCCATCGCAACAACGTCAAATGCAGTTGTCGTTACACGAAATTGGATGGAAATAAAAACGAAAACACCTGTTGAAAATGAAGTGGCTCCAATGCAAATGACAATTACAACGTTGGCGCGAACTGTTGGGAATAAGCAAAGTGTTGGGAACAAATTGCGCATGAAATAGTTTTGTTTGGAAACACAAACCACCAATTTGAGTTCACATGCCGTTTTTGTTTGGGTGCCGTGGAAAGCCACCTGAAGAACCATGATATGAAGTTGCGAAAGGGGAACGTATCGTGGCAGGGTTGATTTCAATCTGTGAAAACGGAGGACTCCTCACACGTTTGATCCTTTTTTTTTACGTTTTTTTGGATGCTGATGGACTTGGAGGTTGAAACACCCCGTTGCCTTTCGATACAGGGAAGATTAGCATGGCCATTGCACGTGAACCTGAGGTGGCATGGCCCTGTGCGCAAGGATGACATCGCACAAATCTGTGCAACTGTCGTGGCTCAAGAAATGTTGCCCGGCAGCCCAATGTAATTTGCTGCTTGGGATTGCTCAGGTTTTGAGCCCAAGCCATGTCGCTATCAACGATGAGAAGACGAAATTCGGAGTCGAGGGCGGCGGACACGCAACCTGGAGCAAATCAACGTGAAGGTCAAGCTCGCGGTCCAACCCCTCGGCAATCAGATGGTCGGAGAGATGGTGAACGACTGGGGCTTGGAGTGGCAGACAGGCGGCTAAACGCTTTGTTGGAGGAGGAGCGGGCTAGGGCTGCATCTTTGCCAGTTCAACCAGGAATGAGACGATTAGAGATCTCTGATGGAGGAAGGTCGCAGCCAAGTCAGCCGCAAGGTGGTGGTGGGCAGTTGGTTGGACGTCCTCTATGGAGAAGTTCGAGATGCTCTTAGCGATCCACGTGCGGAAGCATTGGGTCTTGGGGCGCTACAAGATGCGGTTCGGCATTCTTTTGGACTGTTGCAGCAAGCACTTGGACGTCATCCTCAAGAACAAGGTCTTCTTGGTCCTCTATTTGGGGGGAATGATCCGGGAGTCAGACAAGGAGTTGTTGCCAACACCGGAGGGGGTCAAGTGCTTTTTGCATCGGGTGCTTTGATTGGAGCTCGTGGTGCCGAAGTTGATCGTTCCGGACATAGGTGGCCAAGATGCTAGCGGTTCACGACGGCATGATCAGTTGCAGACCCCTGGAACGGTTCAGTCAGCAAGTCGTCATGGAGTGGAACCTCGAATTTTGGACCCCTATGGATCCCCACATCAACATCAAGTGAACCCTTTTTGGAGTGAGGGACTGCAGCGTTCAGTTCGAGGCCATGATGATCGGCCTGCAGTCGCTGGAAACGATGGCAGTTCAGGTTTTGATGCGGAGATTGAGAAGTTGAAGGAGAAATGTTTGAGAGATGCAGAAGAACCTTTTGCACGCGAGGTGAAGAAGCTTGGGTTGGGTGAGAAGACCGAGGCGGAGTCGTACCATACAGCTTCCAGTTCAATGGGTGCTCAGAATGCGAAGGCGCCGAATGGGAGTGATGGTAGCCGGCCCGATGGTCTTCCTCATGGTGCAGCTCAAGGTCCAGAACCTCCAACTGGTTTGGCATCAGCGCGGATTGGTTTTGATGGGACGGCAGGTCCAGCAGTTTCAGAATCTCTTCGTCACTTGGAGCTGCCGCGCTTGCCAGTGGTTGGATCGGAGGGAGCAGCTTTGCAGTTTGGAGACTGGCTTACAATGGCTACACCCCTCATGTCGGACCTTGGATCTTTGTCAAAGGTGTGGTGGGAGCGAACCTTGGAGGTGGCTGAGGATTTTTATGGGCGATGGCTTGAGCCAACGCCTTTGGAGCGTCTTCGCCTCAAGCCCACCGTGGAGGTGGACCCAGTGTACATGCGTTTGGAGCAGCGTGGAATTTCGATGTTGTTGCGGATTCTTCCTGAAGCTGTTAGACGTGACATTGTGGGTGCTCGCAATGTGTCGACAGTGTCAATTTTGTACCGTCTCTTCGTGGGGGCAGAAAGGACGTTGTTGCTGAAATCTTTGACAGAGGTTCGGGTGGGCACTACGCTTCATGATGTGCTTCGCACTATCCGTCTTTGGAGGAGATGGGTTGGCCGGGCATTGGAGCTGAGCGTTACCGTTCCAGACTCTTTGATTCTCATGCAGGTGCTGGGGAAGATGTCGGATGCCGTGGGGAAGCTTGGAGGAGCTCAAGCGTCGTACTGATTAGCTTCGGTGCGACAAGAGCTTCAGGTTGACCAGAGGCCGCTACTTCCTGCAATTCAAGAATAGTTTCGTCTAACTTGCAGTTGGCCACCTTGAAAGCAATGTAAACTCCAAGCAACGCACACTGTTTTAACTGGGGCAGCGCAGACTGGCTAGGCTGCGGGTTGGCCTAGGAAGGTGAAAAGGGATGGGAAAAGAGTCCAGCAGCAGCTGGGGGTGGGCGCTTTTCAACTTCTTAAAATTAACGGCGGACCCACCGCTCCCACCCTCTTGAGAGAGAAAACTACAGACATCAAACGTGACCCGAAATCCACTGATTTCTAAACTGCATGGTGAGACAATTCGAAGACTAAAGTCTGCTTCATCGTCTAACTTGCAGTTGGCCACGTTGAAAGCAATGTAAACTCCAAGCAATGCACACTGTTTTAACTGGGGCAGCGCAGACTGGCTTCCCCCATCACATCTGTGTTGCCGCAGTCAGGAAATTCAGAAGGTTATCAAACCACGCCACTGCAGCACATGACTCATCCATGCAAGAAGGCAGTAAAGGGTGTGATGCATTGCGTGATGGATAGTCGCTGACATTTGCTTCTGTTGGGACTCGTGCATACCAGGTACAAAGATTGTTCTACAAAGATTGTTCGACGCCTCACGCTCAAGATGGTATCTCATCAAGGCAGACGCATGCGAGCTCAAGCAGGCTCCTTTGATCAGTGAAAACCTGGCACTGTCGTTGTCACCAAAACAAATTTGTAAGCCATCCTTCATCTTGTCAGACCAGAAATCCAAAGCCAAAATTGATGCAGCTAACTCCAACTCATAAATGATCGTTTGTTTCAATTCAGCTCCAAAGTGCAGGCATGTTGACGGCTGCAATGGGAAACCAAACCAGCCCACGCACTCGCAAGACTCATTGAAGATAGCCGCACCTATACCTCCTTCTTTGCTTTCCGGCTCATATGCCGCATCTGAAAAGACAAACCATTGTTGCACCGCCTTTGCAGAGACGATGCGGGGTATTCCAAGAGACAACCTTTTAACCATCACTTGAAGTCCAAAGGCAAGCTCCGGCGAAAGCTTTGCAGACCTGCTGTATGCATGTTCTGACAACTGTTTCAGCACCAAAAGGCCTAGGCGGCCATGCAGAAAGGAATCTGCAAAGCCCAGCTTTCCTCGCAGGATCAAAGCTTCCTGCTTACACAACTCTCCAGCCTGCAAAGTCGAGGCAATCAATGCCTGCAAATCCTGAACCCTTTGTTCCGTGTTCCCCACAGCAAGCACCCTCTCACCTGAGCTAGCCAAATCAAATTGTACTCCAAGCGCTTTGCAAACTGTTCCAAAGGACGTGGACTTCTTGCCGTCCATGTCAAACTTCCAACCTGTCAACATGAAAACCAACTCCATGGAGTTCTTTGCAGACTCAACACTTCCAGGTAACGACGCCAGGATATAGTCATCATAGAAGTTTGTTGTCAACAAAAACAGCTGACGAGTGCAAATAGTGTACAGCATCCTGGCCAGTCTAAGGAAGCTGTACACACTGTGCGTCGCGCCAAATGGCAAAGTAACAAGCTGATAGGTTTCAGCTTGGCCAGTCTCACAGTTGTAGATGCAAAAATATGAGAAGCGCAAATGATCTTCTCTTATTGGAACTTGCCTGTACGCGCTTTTCAGGTCGTACGTTTTTGCGACCAATGCACTTGCCTTTGACTCATCATTGCATCTTCTGAAAAATTCCCTGACCACTGCCGCAAAAGTATCCACCATATGCAAATCGACCTTGTTATGTGTCGATGCTGTATCGTTGATGCCAGAGATCGAAAAGTCATCGATCATTCGTGTCTTTGTCTTTTGAACCAGTGGGAATCTTCGTGACACGACTGCACCTTCAGGGATGGAGCCCAGCGGCCCTATGGCCCAGCCTCGCTTAACTTCTTCTCTTGTTTCAAGAAGAAGCTGCCGATCAACTTCCAAGTCACCTGAAGTCTTACAAACAGCCAATACTGCTTTGTTTCTCATTGGGGCCTCCTTCAGCAACTGTGACATTGTAAGCATGCAAGGCCTGTAGAGCTCCTCAAAGGCCTCACTCTTAGGTATCTCACCTGCTAGAGGTGAACCATGTCGCAACAAGTCCAAAACTCCAGAATCTTCGTACTGCATTTCAGTCAGGATCTCGTCAGTTAACAGGATCCTCTTCCCAAAAGTGGCTTGCCTGACATGTGGAGGGCGAGAAGCTGCATCCAACTGTTCAGCATGTTCCAATTCCTTCGCCCTCTTCAACCACTTGCGGCACCAACTCATTCTGTATTGAACCAAAGTCTGCTCGCTCCACTCCAAGTGTTTGTCCAAAGCCAGTTGTAAATCCTTTGGAACTGAAAAACTGTGCTTTGAGGGGTGGCCTACCTCCACCGCTTTTCTCAAAAATTGTTCGCAATCCCACGGCAAGCCAAAAATTGCTTTGTATGCCCAACACTCATCACCGTCCACACGCAAAGACTCACCTGCTACCCCCATGTCAGAGTCTGCAGCGAAACATCCACGCAAAAAGCGTGAATGCTTAGGCACGAAGACCGCTTGTTGTTGTTCGGTCCTCAACTGGATTGGAGTTGACAGTTTGCCCTAAGGCCGCAAGGGATGTCAGCAGGCTGTTTTGCATAGAAAACTGCTGTTTGTTGAAAGTCAGCAACCAAGTGTGGAACTTTGGCACCTCTCGGTTGGCGACCTGCTGCAATCTGCGCATTTTTGGCTGAAAGCAAAGGGTGATTGACGATATCATGCAAGCAGTTGGGTCGCAGTTGCACACCTTTGGTTGCCGCTACTTGCAGCACAACTTGTACCAAAGCTATGCAGAGCTTTCTAGGGTACTGGGATTCTTCCGCTGTCGCCCAAACTTTCTTGCCTGTGCATTCGTCGTGAATCCCCAACCAAGGTGCTTGTGAGTTCTGTCACAAACCACATCCATCTGACAAATTTCAGGAAAGGAGGCAATGATCCTTGTCCACTTGTCCCGCATAGATCCATACATGCATGCCTGAAAATCTGTTGCAAAAATCGGATAAGCCCGCAAGAGATCCAGCACAAAGGGTATTACCCAAAGGTATGAGCCACGGGGATTTTCCATTGTAGCCAAGATGCCTCGTCTCAAACACATTGCAAAAAGATGGCAAGTATATCTGAACAGCTCATTTGCAATCTCAACCCTCTGGCGGTCTGCTAGTCCAAGTGTAGGTAATCCCATTGGATGCTCCAAGGACCTCAAAGGTTGAGGCGCAGCAGTCAGTTCGGGTCGGGGTATCTCCCTGGCCCTGCTTGCCGTGCCACATACTGATGCAAAATGCACCCAAAGCAAAAGAGGTGAAGAAAGCCACTCTTCCAAGAGCTCCCTGTCAGCTGCTTGCATCAAATCTAACTGATAGATTGTGCTTCTTGAATTTTGCTTCCGAACTTTGTCGACTGCTATGCCACCAAGTCCATACTGTTTGGCCACAGACGTAAGGACAGCTCCACCAGCAAACACTTCAATCATGAATAACTGCTCTATGTGAAGCCCATTTAAGTCCTTTCGCACATCAGGGCCTAGTCACTTGTGCTGTTGCAACGAGTGAGGTTGTTGGCAACGCGGCTCAGCACAAACATGCAATCCTCGTGGGCACCGTTCCCCTGGCTTAGCAGTCGAGGAGTGAGCAGCCAGCTGCTGTATTGAAGGCAAAGCAAATCGGCTCATTTGCAGCCGTCTTGTGGTACTTTCCCCGCAACTCTTGGGGCATAGGTGGAGTCTTTCCTTTGCCTCCTGATTTTCCTTTTGGCTTTCCACCATGTGACTTTCCACCTGAAGCCTGGTAAGGAGCAGGCCTTGACGGACCTGATGCTGAGCTTTGTACTGGTTTTGCCAAAGGGGCAAGATACAGCATGATTGCCGGGTCCAACTTCAGAGCTAACAATGCCTCTCCCAATGGAAATGTTCCATCAGCGGCCTCACGTGTTGACACACCTAAAGTTGCTAGCCTCGCCCAAGCAGCTTTGTCACAGCTCACAACTTGTGACGGGTTTGCACGGCTGTAACCTGGAGGAACTTCACGATGTAATGAATCGAAAAGAAAAGTCACCCAAGCATTGTGTTGTTGAAAGGACATGACTCGAGCAAATGCTAAGGCGACTGCTCTTCTGCTCCATTCGTAGTGCAACTTGATCTCAGAGTCAGTCTGGCAAGTCAGCTTGTCATCCTGCTTAAGGATCAGTGACCCTTTTTCCAGTGTAAGTTCACGGGCTTTGGGCGTTCCCTGAACCTCCATACTTCGAGAAATGCAAATTGCTGGCTCCAGCCATTTGACATTGTTGCTATCAAAGATTGCACAGCACTTGTCCAACAACGCATGTGAGGGTTCAAGTTCACCACTAATTTCAAGGCCTCTAAGGTCCTGGCGAAGCCTGTCCATTCGCTGCGTACGTTCAGCAAAGGCAACTTTTCTGGGTTGCGTTTCATCGCTTTGATCAATTTGTTGTCTCAATGTTGCAACCAAGTATGTATGAGCCTCAAAACCAAGCCTCTTCAAAGCTGCAGTCTCTGCTAAGGTCGGTGCACGGCCCAAAGCATTCTGCAAGAAGCCCGTCACTTCTTGATTTTGTATAGGCTGACCAGGTTGGCCAATCACAAACGCAAGCTTTGAAAGGCAATCCACTTGCACAGCAGCTAAGGCCGTCACAAAACCTTGTCCCATACTCAGTCTAGCGCATCTCTCTTCAAAGTGCGCTGTACTATCAAGCAGTGAAATCATGTTCCTAACAAACGCGCAACGAGACCGTGAAGAGAAAATTCAAATCATGTCATGAGCACATGCAAGGAAAACATGAATGCAACTGAAGTTGAGTGCAGCTTTCTGCAAACCTAGATAAGCTTTAAAGATGGCTGACGTCTTGATGCAGCTTTCTGCAAAAGAACTTGTTTACTTGCAGCTTTCTGCATGTGGAGCTTTCTCCATCCTTTGAGCCGCATTGCATGA